CCGGCCCGCCCCCTGCAGGCCAACCCTCTGGAGGGCGTGGCGCAGATCGACCGCACTGCCACCGGAATCGACAAGTACTTTGTCAAAGTGGTGAGAGTGCTGCGCCCAGCAGTCGCAGTGCGCCCGCGCTGCCGCCTGCGCCCTGCTGCACCGCCCGCCCAGCGCCCGCCCCGCGCTGCCGGCGGCCGGGGTGGGGGGTGCCCACGCGTCGCGCACCCACGGCGGTACCGCCCGCACATCAGTACTGCCACCCTCTGGTACTGCCCGCAGGTCCCCACCGACTTCTACACCCTGTGGGGCCGCAAGACGCACACGTACCAGTACAGCGTGACCGAGTACTACCACCAGTTCCGGGGCGGCGAGGAGCAGCCTCCCGCAGTGTACCTGCTCTAGTGAGTGGCGCACCCCTGTGCTGCTGGGAGGCGGCGGCCGGCTCGGGGGCCTGCCTGCGTGGCCCGAGGGCGGCCGTGACGCTGGCGGCAGCAGGGCGCCTTCGCCTGCGCCTGCGTCCTGACCGCCGTGCCTCCCCGCCTCCCTCCCTCCCTCGCCCCCTCCCCGGGTGCCCCCCGCAGCGATGCCAGCCCTATCATGGTTGACATACGGGAGATGCGGCCGGGGCTGCTGCGCCTGCTGGTGCGCGTGTGCGCGGTGGTGGGCGGCGCCTTTGCGCTCACAGGCCTGTTTGACAAGATGGTGCACCGCGCTGTGGTGGCGGTGAAGCGGCACGCTGTGTGAGCGGCGCACACCGCCGCCGCCGCCCAGCGCCTGATGGTCACCACCCGCGACTGCTGCACTGTTTCTTCTGCTCCCTCTCTGTCCCATGCTGCTGTTTTGCTTTCCCGCTCCAAACTGAGTCTCTTGTTGGCAGCTGTAAACGCTTCTTGCACTCGCGCTTTGGGACACTGGGCGGTGCTCGATGCGAGGGTGCCACCAGTTTCGGCCTGCCGTGCTCCTGAGATGGAGCTCTTTCAAAGGCCAGGCCAGGCCTTCTCGCCACTGGCAGCACTTGGCCTCACTGCCTCCCTGGTTTGCAGCCATCGCTGATCCGGATCCACAGGAAAACCTCGCGATGCTTGGTGTGTTACAGCCGTGCCGGAGCGGTGCAGAAAGGGCAGGAAGCAGTACAGCTGTGCATACGAGGGGCAGCAGAAGCGGTGGCGGGAGAGAGGGCGAGTGAATTGGGAGTCAGCGGGTCACTGGTGGGCAAGGTCAGCTGGAGGATCAGTCGAGTCGGTGGAGAGAGAGGAGTCAAGTCAGGCCAGCGCCGGGCAGGCAGGAGGGAAAGAAAAGGGGCGCCAGCGTGGCATTGCGGCCACGGGCGCGCCGCCGCCTCGGCCCCCATCCAGCCGACGTTAAGACCGTCTGCTGAGCCGCCTCACTTCTTCTCGTACGCCGCCTTCTCCTTCTCGTAGCGCGCCTTGTCCTTGTCAGCCTTCTTCTGGTAAGGCTCCTTCTCCTGCAGAAAGCGCAGGCCGACGTCGCATGTTGACAAGAGCTAACAGGTTGGTTGGTGGGGACCAGTGGGGCATGCGGCCACCATACACCGTGCCCCTGGCACTCGGCACAAAAGAGGCAGCGGCGCAGCGCTCAGCCCGGCGCGTGACTTCACAGCCGTGGCTGTAACACGGCAGCAGTAGCGGCAGCAGCGCACCTTGTCGCTCAGCTCCTTCCAGGCCGCGCCAGTGGCCTTGCCCACCTCGCCCAGGCTAAGGCTGGGGTCGCTCTTCTTCATCTGCAGCACAGGAGGCAGGACGGGCGGGCGGCCACAGCAGCAGACAGATTCTGAGTTGCCAGGCAGCAGCGAGCGCTAGGGCAGACTCGCTGGCGAGCTGTTGTGCGCTGCAGTGTGTGCCGCGGCTGGCAGTGTTGTTGCTGCGCCCAGACCGAAGCTGTCCCACGGTGGACCAGCGCTGAGCCTCGCTGCGTGTGGCGCGACACCTCGTCAGCTGGCAAGCGGAGCTGGCAGCCTGCCGGCACGCGGCCAGCCCGCACCTCCACACGCTTGTCGGAAGCAAAGTACATGTAGGCGGACAGGGGCCGCTTGGGGGCGTTGGGGTCTGCAGCAGGCAGGCGGGCGGGCGGAAGAACAAGAGGTGTGTTGTGGGCCAGGGGGTTCCAAGCAGCAGCGCAAGCGGAGCAGAAGCCTGGCTGGGCTCAGTGCCTGCCAAAAGAGAGTGGGGCTGGGGCCGTAAAGCAGAAGGGTGGGCCGAATTCAAACAGGTTCAAACAGTCGACTTTTGACTGGGGGTGGGGCGGGAGGTGCCGGGGGTGGGCCAAACCTGGGGCGGCAGGCCACACCGCCCTGTCGGGCACACCCACACGCCCCAACCAGAGGCAGGGGGTGCCCAGGGAGGCCTCCAGGGGCCTCTGGCTCCCACAGCTTGACATCGCGTTCAAGGCAGCGCAACGGCGTGGCCACCCAAACAGCCCCCGCCGCATGTCCACCAGCACCACACGGCCCACAATGCATGCTGCGGTGGACAGCACCACCAGGCGGCACCCGGAGGCCTCGGATCACCCATTTTGATCGGTGGGCCGGTCCCCAGCTGCTCTGCTGCACCCTGCAAGCGCTCCCAGACCGCCTGCCCCGCTTCCAGATGCAATTGGCGGCACCATAGGAGCCTACCCTTCTCCTTCTTCTCCTTCTTGGCGGGAGCCTTCTTGGGGCTCTTGCCGGCCTTCTCAGCAGCCTTCTTGGGAGCCATGGCGACTGGATGTGTGTGGGAAGGCTAGGAAGGGGAGGGGGTGAATGGGGCGAGGCAACAGCGCAGCCTGTTTGTATTTTGCACGCCGCCCCGCCTTTCCAGTGGCCTCGTGCATGGGCTTGGCCAGGGCCGCCATAGCACCCCCAATTGCCACCATCGATCGATTCAGGGTCTCATAAGGCCAACAGGGGCTGTGATAGAGCGGCCAGGCGGGTGGTGGCAAGGCGAAAGTGGAGCAGCATGGCCGAAGTGCGCGTGAATGCCAGCGTTTCGGATCTGACGAGAATAGAGCGCATCGGGGCCCACTCCCACATCCGCGGGCTGGGCCTCGATGACGCCCTGGAGGCCCGGGCGGTGTCGCAGGGCCTGGTGGGGCAGACCTCGGCCCGTAAGGTGGGCCGGAGAGGCGTGGGGGGGGCGGGAGCAGCAGCGCCGGCCGACGGCGGCTGCGCCATGTGCAGTGCATGCCGCCGCCGGTTGACCGCCGCCCGGTTTGGCGCTGCTGGTTCGGTTCCCTTTGCTGTTGCCCAAGGGCTGGTTCAGCTGTCACTCAGCTTCTGCTGCCGTAGTGCCCATGCCGCAGCAAGCGCCATGCATCACCCTCCTGCCCCGCCTCCCTGGCACAGCCCCCCTGCAAGCCTTCAGCTCCTTGCCTCGCTTCTGAGCACCCCCCGCCGCACATGCTCCCTTCCATTCTGCCCACCCCCGCAGGCCGCGGGAGTGATCACCCAGATGATCAAGGAGGGCAAGATTGCGGGGCGGGGCGTGCTGCTGGCGGGGCAGCCAGGCACAGGCAAGACGGCGATCGCGATGGGCATCGCAAAGAGCCTGGGCGCGGAGACGCCCTTTGCCATGATCGCCGCCTCCGAGATCTTCAGCATGGAGATGAGCAAGACAGAGGCGCTGACGCAGGTGGGGGGCTGCGGTGTAGAACCGGGTCGTAGAAGCAGCGGGCTAGATGCAGCGGGCTGGCCACGTGTGGTTGGTGGGGAGGGCTGTGCCCTTGTCGGCGCCCTGCCATCAGCTGCTGCTGGTCCAGTTCACATGGCATGCGCCGATGCATCTCACCCCTCCTGCCTCCTGCCTGCCTGCCTGCCTGCCTGCCTGCCCCCTCCAGGGCCTTCCGCAAGGCCATCGGCGTGAAGATCAAGGAGGAGACGGAGCTGATTGAGGGGGAGGTGGTGGAGGTGGAGATCGACAGGCCCGCCTCGGGGCAGATGGCCAAGACGGTGCGCCGGCTTGGCTGCCGTGGATGGGGTGCTGGCTTGGGATGCTGCCTGGCCGCGGTTGGCGTGGCAGTGTGCTGTCTTGTGTGCATGGCGGGGGTGGTAGCGGGCAGGGAGGCGCGAGCGGGCGGTTTCGGCCCCA